ACAATTAGAACACATTAAGAAATTTTAATCATTTCTATTAATAATAGGTTATCATTTTATTGACAGAATATAAATCATTACACATTTCTGAAACTTGATAATATCAAAATTTATATACTTTTTACCCTTTATGGACTGAATTGTGTTCCTTAAAATTCCCCCACTGAAGCACTAACCTTTAATGTATCTATCTAAAGATAGGGACTTCCATTACTGCTCACAATTAAGAATAAAGGAAACTCAAATCACTACTGCTTAGAAATTGGTAAAAACCAACCAAAGAGCAACCATCCCACTATAACAATGTACAATTATGAGAAAGATACCTGCTGATACACAATGTCAACAAGAGCGAAAAGCAGAAAAAAATTAAGGTATAAAATCCTGAATAATGCTTACTTCCACTCTTGGCTACAATCTCATGTGAACACAAAAATAACTCTAAATACACATAAATGTAGCTGTTTTTATATAGAAATTTTCTCAGACTAAATAAAATTTTTCTATTTGTCTTAGTTATGGGATATAATCAACAGAAAATTAACTGAAATATATATTTGAAATAAGACGCCAGGCGGTGGTGGCACACGCCTTTAATCCCAGCACTTGGGAGGCAGAGACAGGTGGATCTCTGTGAGTTCCAGGAAAGGCGCAAAGCTACACAGAGAAACCCTGTCTCGAAACCCCTGCTCCCCACCCCATCCCAAAAAAGGACTAGATTTTATTATATTTTCTATTTTTACAATGTTAATGCTTATTTTATTATTCAATTAATCTTTTAAAAATTAAAAAAATAAACAGAATCTATTTCATAACTTAGTTTTCATATAATTGAAGTATTTACAATAGCTAATTCATAATTTAAAATTCAAAAGTAATGACTGAAAGCAAAAACAATTAACAGGAAGGTTACGTTACCCAAAGGGATAGCCCACAGTGTTTATACATATTTTCATGTGCACATGTTCTCCCAACTCCAACTTAGCATTCTATCTAATATTATTTCTTAAATACATACCATAATTTAGATTTAAACCCAGAAGGCATGCTAACCATGTAAAATCTCAGAAGGACCTTTTTGGGGTAGGTTTCTTAATAATTATTTATCCAAGTTTAATTTTGCCTCTCCAGTTTTGACAATGTAAATTAGATAGGAAAAACTGCACAGGACAAAAACTGTATATAGGAGGCTATGGTTCAGAATCATCTCCTAGTCTTTATTCTTGTCTCTCACAGAGGAAGTAAATGAATATACAACTATTTGCTCAATGATATTTTAAAATGCTTTTAGTTCTGTGTTGCTGTGACATAACAATGTGCCTGTGGTATTGATATTTACTATCTTCCATTACTTCCTTTTGCTATGTATTTTAAGTATTACAAATGCATACTTTATCAGATTTAAAGTAAGAGCAAATATAATATTTACCAAAGATGTGAGCTATTAAAAGAAAATGAGGGCCTGAAGCATAGCTGAGTGGTAAAATGTGCTAGCATGTGTGAACTCTGGAAATTTTTGGTATTATTGAAATGATAGTAATGGACTTATGGAGGTAATTATAACTTACTAAATTACTGTTAATAAATATAACAAACAAACCTAAATCTGTTATTGCTTATGATCAACTTTCTGACTTACTGTTTTGTTGAAGTATGTAATAAAATTAAAGAATGCTTTTTCAAAGTAAAATAAAAACTTAAGCAAAGACAATGCTTTCAACAATACTTTTAGTACATACCTGACTCTTTGCCAACACCCATCTGGTTTCCAACAGACTCAATTACCTGTCTAGAAGACAGTGTTTTCAAAGCTAGGTAATCATAACCAGCATTTGTCAATCGATAGCCCTGGACAGCTAGACAAAAATTAGATATGAACATTATTTACTTGCACTGTAGCAACAAGATACATCAACTCAATCCAACCATCAAAGATGGAAAGTCTTAGCTACAGAAAGATAAACTACACAGACTTATAAGTTCCCAATTTCTTCTCTATTATAGAACTACTTAAAGTGTGACTCATGTATCGACACCAGTTTGAGGGTCTGTGAAAAGATATGCACATAAACTCAAAAGGATTTAAGTTCATGATATTTTATATTGATCTGGCCATGAATTTATGCCCATTTTTGTATATAACCATTATTCTCTTTACTTTTTCCAATAACTACTTTCTCTTATATTTATAAAAGATCTGCAGCAGGTTTTTAAACCTTCAACCCTCATCACAGATGGCTTGAGAAGAAATGCTCTGGCCCTGTTAGAGGCTGAATTTTCCAAAGGTGGCGGTAACTGTGTGACTATCCCATTTGTTCTGCAGTGTGATCTCGCTACTTTCTCTGCCCTCTTTGAGTGGACTCTGTGACTGTTTTTGACCAATTCAATATGGCATAAGAATATATCAGTTCTTGGTTGTCTAACCAGGCAACCTGTACTTCATGCCCTACAGAAAGCCAATTAGCTCAAAACTGACAAATAATGTAGCATAAAATACTTACTTTTAGTACGTTCCCAAGCTATAAGCTTATGCTTCACTAACTCTCTCAACACTTTGTTACAACCACCATGCTTCAGGTTGGCTATAGAGGCAACTAAACTGCAGGGAACAATCTCGTGGTTCTTCATGCCCATTTCGACCTGAAATTAAAGGAATCATTATAATGCCACAAGCAACATGAAGCCTCGTCTATTAAAACCTTGCTAAGAAATTAAATTAGCCTCTTGAAACGTTCCCAACTAAGTAGATCTCTAACCACAGCTGTGCAGCCTAACAGAAACAGATCTTGAGAAATGTGCTGTTAAGCAAACGCAGGCTACAAAGTTAATGGGCACTACCATGGTTATACTGCCACTAGATAGAATGATCTTAGAGGATTATTGAACATATGTTCTGTGGCCAAACAAAAAGTTTAAGGCAGCATATGACTTACAATATAGTTATTTTAGTCTCCATCATGTTAAATTCCTTCTTGGTAAATACAGTTAATCACTGATACTGTCAACTTCAAGAGTAAAAACTTAGTTCTTGAAAAGCTAATGACGTGGTTCATAATAAAATACTTAACACCTAAACACTGTCTTAAAAAAAACCCACAGATATTCCAGATATTAAGCATAATTGAGATAATTGATATAGAGGCAAAGAAGTTCACAGAAAGAGGAGGTGGGCAAGAAAAGATAACACTGGCAGCATCTGCCTGAGTCTGGAATGTTAAGTTCAATGACTAGGTAATTCCTTAGGGAGCTTAGAAATTTTGGAAGACAAATCTGTTACTCTGTTGTCTCACCATAACTACGCATTTGAGACTTTTAACTCATTTTTAATGTTCTGTTTCTGCTTCCCCAATCTTCTAATACACTTCTTGACTACCTTATTCTCATTAGACATTGAGAAATAAGCGAATCTACTGAGGAGAGCCATTATTTAAAAATACCATTTAAAGAAAAAGCCCAGGTTAATTAAGACAGCTATAGGAGAAAGAAAGTGCATGCTAAATTTCTTAGGACCTTGCATTTGATTGATTAATTTGTAAGTGCTACCTACTTAAGACTAATTCCAAAAACTTTGACTACAAAGGCTTAAAATAATACATGAACCAAGGAACTCATACTACATATCCTATAATGTAATTACATTAACATGGTCCTTCTCCTTACCAAAAGACAGTGATTCCTAAACAAAGACTGACTGACTCTAATCTAAGATGTATGCCATGATCTCTGTGCAATGAGACTAAAGCGACACAATCAAATTTTGTCATTTTCCTAATTAAAACATTCACTGGCTTCCAACATAATGTTACTAGGCCTGCGAGGGCAACGGTCTACATGATTTGGTTCTCAGCTTTTTTTCCCATGTACATCTTCCACCATTAGACCCAGCCACACTGGCCTTTTCTTCCTCTGAAGACTTTTCCCCATCTCTGGGTTTTTGCTCTTATTAGGGTCTTTATCTCGAACTCTCTCCAAGGACATCTCTTCTCCCATAGGTAATATTCCCCTGTTTCGGGGACATGACACAAACCAACAACTCTGTGATTTAATTAAAATAGGAGTAAAGACACGATTCTTGGATTTAGGCAGTCTCCGTCACTATACAACTCAAAGATAGTAGTACTCTTGCCTCACCTTCCACCACATAGATACTTTCTATTCCTTTATCCTTTGTTACCCTCACGATCCTTATTACTTGATAATGACATTATTAACTTACTGGGTTACTTGAGGACCGGAGGTATCTGCCCCCGTCTGTTTTGCACTCTGCTGAACTGCCTAAAATTGTTACTAAAACCAGACACTTTTTTTTTTTTTTTAAATGAATCAGAGGGAACATTACTGGGTCTATTACTGGGAACCTAAGGGGCCTCCTTCAAGGACTTTTAGTTTTTTTTGTTTTTTTTTTTTTT